AAAGGGGGGAAATTGCGACTTCTTATTTGCGTTCCAGATTGAGGCTAAAATAGTAATTTACCCCTTCAATATTATATTCCAGATAATAAATTGGGTCAGTTGAGTCAATTTTTTTAATTGGGGTCATTTGAACAGATATAAACTCTTTGAGGTTACCTATGCCAACTTGCCGGAACGCATTTCATCCTCCACAGATTTAGGTGAATTCGGGAGAATTTTGAGGGAAGTACTGCCACAATGTCACATTAGAAGCACAGAAATCGGAAATTTCTGATTCAGTTGCCATTCTGTCATCAAGAAAAGGCGAAGAAATTGGATTCCGCCACCCACTCACCAAGTAATTGCAGTTCCAACTTTCCACTGCCCCACCAACAACCAATTTCCGTGCCAGTTACCGAAGCAGGGAGCGAAAAAAGCCACTTCCATTCATAGTTTTGCGATAAAAGAAGAGCAAATCGAACGCCCATTTTGTCTCATCTTCCAAAGGAATCATGGGTTGGAATCAAAACCGTCCCACTGGTTCATATTGCTTCGCAGTTCGAAGGCAACGATAGCCCAACTACTGAACCCTCCACCGTCTGAAGCTGAGAGATCAAAATGGCTGTTGTCCGCCCTCTTTCAATTCCAGGGCTGGCGTTCAATTCTCCATCTGCCGTTTATAATTCCCACTCCCCCCTGTTTTGTCATCTGGGCAACGCCCAAATACTCGATAGGAGCAAACCCAGATGCCAAAAGCCCGAATTACTCTCCGTTGAGTGTTACAGAAAGCGATGTATGAGAGATTCCGGGTTCAATCGCAAGAACTTGGGGTTATCTAAGACTGTGCAGCCGGGGAATATGAAACCCAGAAAAGTTCAAGCTAAATTTTTGGGCACTGGCTTTTCTGGGGCGAATTCGAGGAGTGAGAGGTTCATTTTGAAATCAAAACTGGCTTTGAGCGATGATGAAGCAGTGGAGCGAGGAGGCGAGGATAAGAATATGTATGATGCTATTGTTATTGGGTCAGGTATTGGGGGTTTGGTTGCTTCTACTCAATTAGCAGTGAAGGGAGCCAAGGTTTTGGTTTTAGAGAAGTATGTGATTCCTGGTGGGAGCTCTGGGTATTACCAGAGGGATGGGTATACTTTTGATGTTGGGTCTTCTGTAATGTTTGGTTTCAGTGATAAGGTCTGTTTTTGGGATGGAATTTAGTTGCGATCCTTGCATCTCTTTTGTTCAACTCTGTTTGTTCATTTATTATTGTTTTTATTAGTGTTTAAAGTGGTTCAGAATATGACTGAATTCAGATGCAAAGCATGCTATTACATTTTGGTTTTAATAGTTTTTCATGCCCTTGACTTCTTTTGTTCACAAAGTGAGAGAGAGTGATGTTAGGCCTCTAATTGTTGAACTATACATTAGAAAGGGCAAAATCATGAGAGAAAACTAGTCTACTCAATAATTTATCCCTGAACAGACTTGGAAATTTGTTAGAAGTAGACTTTAAAGCATATATGCCTGGGATGGAGCAGTATACTTGTGTAAAGAGCCATGTATATACACCAACTAATGTGAACTTCGTCGACTATGGAAGAGAACTAGTGAGAAGGGTTAGGTTCTTAAACTATAACTGGAGAAAGAGGTAAGTAGCACATTAAAAGTATATGGGAACGTGGTTAGTTTAGAACTCTTTGGTGTATATGCTCTCTCGATCAATGGAAAGATACATTGAAGTAAATTAGAAATAGTGTTCTTCTACAAGATCTCGAGAGGGATTTTCCATATTCTGATTATTGGAATTTTCCTTTAAAATTATATTTCACTCACTTCATTAGTTCATTTCATTTGGTTGATGGGTTGCTCCATTTTGCACTTTTGGTATATATATATTTGATTTCAAAGCGGTTGTCTGAAAATGCAACTTTCATCTTTTATTCATGGGTTATTTCACAGGAAATTTTGCTGTAATTTTATCTTCATTTTGAGTCATTTAGTTGGTAGTTTTCTTGGGTCTTTATTCAACAAATATGCTGGGCAGGGAAATCTAAATTTGATCACCCAAGCTTTGTCAGCAGTTGGTTGTGAGATGCAAGTGCTACCAGATCCAACCACTGTTCATTTCCATCTACCAAATAATCTTTCGGTACGGGTTCATAGAGAATACGGTGAATTTATTGAAGAACTTGTCAGCTATTTCCCCCATGAAAAAGAAGGAATCCTAAAATTCTATGGAAATTGTTGGAAGGTCAGTTTTTGATTGAGATGACTGCATCTTCCTCCACATTTTTATCTCCACAACCATTGACTTACATGACAAACTTGATTACATGGGTAGATATTCAATGCTTTAAACTCATTGGAATTAAAATCACTGGAGGAGCCAATATACCTTTTCGGACAATTCTTTCAGAAGCCTCTTGAATGCCTCACACTTGGTAATGATTTTTATTTCTTTTGATTGAATATATATTTTTGAAAATTGCTGAGTAAAAGTTTTGAAGGTAGAAATAACCAATATGCAAAATATATGCGACAAATAATCGGATTTTGGATGGGGATCCCTCTTCCCCAGCCCTTATTTTGTCTTTTTTCTCCTTTTTTTTTTACAAAGTTTCTTATCCAAAAAAAAAACCGGATTTTATCTGCATCCATTTTGCGAGTTACATTCATACCATCTCCTCCTCAGTTGCAGAAAATTTTCACTCTTAAGCATCAAATATCCTTTCCAGTTGTGAGCCAAACTAACCCCCTCTGTAGCATAATTTCTATGGACCAATGATGGTTGCCATCTAAGAAGAAATGCTTTCTCGCTTATTCATCTTTAAGTAGTCAGTTTTGTCTTGGCTACAGCATATGATAATGAATCATGATTAATATCACCCTTTCATTAATTATGTTGGTTAATATACATCTTCCCTCTTTGAAAATATATAAATCTATCCACATTGCAGCATACTACTTGCCTCAAAATGCTGGAGACTTGGCTCGGAAGTACATTAAGGATCCCCGTTTATTGTCCTTTATCGATGCAGAGGTGAGCTTAGAGAATTGATTAATTGAGATATTTGCTGTAAGTTTAGTATTTTCCATTCTATTTACATATTAATGGGTTTTTTTTCTCCCTACTCCATGAGTCCATATATTTCTCTTGGATAAATTTATTTGTGGTGCTTCTGCAGTGTTTTATCGTTAGCACGGTGAATGCTTTACAAACACCAATGATAAATGCAGCTTTGGTAAGACTTATAAAGTCTATTTTCATTCTTTTTCTTCAATTCGTCCTGATTCATGATATACTGTCGGCTTCAGGTTTTATGTGACAGGCATTTTGGTGGGATTAACTACCCTGTTGGTGGCGTCGGTGGAATTGCAAAGTCCTTGGCAAAGGGTCTGGTTGATCATGGCAGCACGATAATGTATAAAGCAAATGTGACAAATATAATAACCGAGGATGGCAAAGCTGTGAGTTAGATGTTAAGGTTTGTGTTTATTATTGTGTCCACTTTTATTATTTGCTTGATTTATATTGTAGGTAGGTGTGAAGCTGTCTGATGGAAGAGAGTTCTTTGCTAAAACTATTATATCAAATGCTACCAGATGGGATACCTTTGGTTAGTTTTGCACTCAAATTCATAGAAGAACTTATTATATTACTTGGTTGAATTTCATCTGTCTCTTATCTCCTCGAATTTTAATAATTACTGTATGTATGAACCCCGCTTTGTTTAAGGAAAGCTGTTACAAGGAGTGGACCTTCCCAAAGAAGAGGAAAGCTTTCAGAAACTTTATGTAAAGGCCCCATCTTTTCTTTCAATTCATATGGGGGTAAAAGCCGAGGTTCTACCCCCAGACACAGATTGTCACCATTTTGTGCTTGAGGTAGTTTGATGCTTTGATTAGTGCTATTTTTTCTAACAGTTCCGTTTAACTTTTCATGGGAATTGCATCGAGACCATCTTACCGTTTCTCTCTTTATTATTAGAGTGATTGGACAAGGTTAGAGGAGCCATATGGAAGCATCTTTTTGAGCATCCCAACTGTTCTTGATGCATCATTAGCTCCAGAGGGACGTCATATTCTTCACATTTTTACCACTTCTTCCATAGAGGACTGGGAGGTGAGTACAGCATTTTAGTTAATATTCTGACTTTAATTACTCTAAAACCAAAAACTTAAGCTGTTATATTATTTTATCTTTTACATGTATTCTTAACCCTCCCCCTCACGTATGGACTCATATATCAATTTGATTTTCTTGAAACCAAACATATGAACTATTAATATCAATTAGGAGGAAATAAAACATTACAAGGGTTTGAACACTGATTCTATAGTAAATTACTTCTAAACCTAAAAGTTTAAGTTGATAGGCTAAGATATATTTAATCCTTATATATATTCTTAACATACTTACCTCCATCTGCCCCTTTCACCCTCCATATGATTGGTTGTGGTGCATGTTATATGTAATTTCACAGTTGAGCTATTTTTTCCTATACCAGGGGCTCTCTGTAAAAGACTACGAAGCGAAGAAGGAGCTGATAGCGGGTGAAATCATTACTAGACTTGAGAAGGAGCTATTTCCAGGCCTTAAATCATCTATTGATTTTATGGAGGTATATGTTTTGTTCTAATGCTGCCTGCTAAACAGTCTTGCTGTTTTTTAAAACTGGACCTCTCTTTAGAGTATACTGTGCTGCGTTTTTAAAATCTCGAATCAAAATAATTAGGTGAAGTAAGTTTTAGGATTGTACTTGTTAAAATAATCCATAAGTTTGTCTCAATACGAAAAGTAAATAACGAAAGCAGTGTGTTTTACTATCCAGTATTCATATGAATGGCATTGGAGTATGTTGTTCCTTCTGTTTATGTTGTATAGCAAATGGACCTGACAAATCACCTTTCCAAGAGAAATTATTGTATTTATTCAATATGAATCTCAAATATTTCCATATGCAGGACAGTAAATCTCATCGGTTTTATTTATTTATTTACTGTTTCTTGATCAATGAGGCTGTATTTTTATGTCTTAATTATGTCTAATTTTGGTACTTGCCTGTGATATTTGAGTTGGTGGATTGGAATAAACACTTTAAATTTAATATTATTGAAACATTATTTTCCTCTAGTACAAAGCCTTCTAATTATTTGTCTGGTTAAAGTTGCTTATGCCTTCTCAAAAAGTTGCATAAACACTATTAGATTGCATCAACTTAAAACCACACAGTTACTCGCTCTTAATAATGTGTTGGTTAAAAATTTATGGAATGGTGACAGGTCGGGACACCAAAGACACATAGGCGATTCTTAGCTCGTAATAGTGGTACCTATGGACCGATGCCACGTAGAACTCCCAAGGGATTACTTGGAATGCCTTTTAATACAACTGTAAGTTTATGGTTGAAATTAAGCCTCTTGTTTATGTGGATGGTTAATTTACATCCGACTGAAGGGACACTGATTACGACCTGCAGGCTATAGATGGCCTGTATTGTGTTGGTGATAGCTGCTTTCCCGGACAAGGAGTAATAGCTGTAGCCTTTTCTGGAGTGATGTGTGCACACCGAGTAGCTGCAGATATTGGTGAGCTATACACCTCTCACCTCTTTCGATTTTTCCAGATTGTTGATGATCATTTACCAACTTGCCTAGTTTACCGAAAAGAATTTTATCTCATATCTCTGAGTTATAAATTACTTGTCTAATGAACTACACAACTCATAACTTCGAGTTCCGAATATCTGTTCCACGGCGTCTAGTTTCTTCTCAGTTTGGCTAGAGTTCTACCGCCCCTAATTCTTACCACCTTGACAGGTCTTCAAAAGAAGTCCCCCATTTTGGATGCTGCCCTTCTTGGACTACTCGGTTGGTTTAGGACCTTGGCCTGAGTTTTGATGTGAGAATGCAGTCTGTCCATTGCACCGTAAAAGTCTTATGGGGTCAGCTGTGTAACAAAGGCTTACCATTCTTTAGAAATAGAGCAGTAGCAACATCATACTCGTATATTTACGATTAATGTAACAGATTGTGACGGTAATCAATCTGTCAATGAATAAGAAAAAGAGTTTGTACCAAGAAAAGAACCTCTGAACTGAATGTTTGTTTTATAAAAGAAAAAGAAGAGTTCTGCCAACATTTTATGTTCATGGATTTGGAACTAAACTCTACTGTTTCAGGCCACTATATTTAAATGTTCTAGCTAGATGCTGAAGTGAGAAGCACCTCCAGGAGCAACCCATGTTGACGATGACTAACATGTTCCCGTTGCCTTCAATGCTATCACCCGTCCCGGAAGGTAAGTTTTCCTTTTTCTTTTAAGAGTACAATAGCAGGGAAAAGTTGCCAAAATGGAGATTTTTACTATTTGTTAGACCTTGGAACTCAAATTGAAGCACAAGTAAACCAATGCTCTGATTGCTCTTGTAGCAAATCTTCCTCTGAGAGTATTTTGCACTTTGTTTATATTAACTTCCTGATTGTAGCTTCATCCTCCTCAACGAAACGTAAGCCAATAGCCGATACCCGAAAACCATGGCGACTAGAGCTGTAACTTCCACTACTCCGTTGTCCATTCTCATACCGTTCACGGCGGGTATGATGTGGTTGTACTGCACCTTTAGAAGGAGCTTGTATGTGTGATAGTTGAAAGATACAAAGCGGATCCATGATATGAACACTGGAACTTTCTGCAAAAATTTCAGGAAAATGTCTTCTTTCTGGACAAACTAAAAATGAAGTTTGCTCAAAGTATATGAACTAATAACTGAATTCCCAAAATTATTTGGATCAAAATGGGGTCAAATCCAGAGATCAAAATAGTGTATGATTTGTTTTTAGTTTCTAGTTTCTAAAAATTAGGCATATTTTCTTGCAGTGTTTTTCACCTTTCTTCTAAATACATTTGAATTTTTAGTCGAATTTTTTTTTTTCTAAAAAAATAAGTTTTCAGAAACTTTATTGTTCTTATTTTTTTAAAATTTGGGTTAAATTTTGAAAATGTTTTTTAAAAAGTTGATAACGAGACAAAGGAAAACATAGGTGGAAATAGTGGTGGCAAGTTTAATTTTCAAAGACAAAACTAAAAACAATGGTTATCGGGTTCTTAGTTTCTATACTTCAAGCAAATTACGTTGTATATAGACTAAAATCAATGTAAAATCTAAATACTAGAATAATATGATCTTAGAGGTCTCGTGTTCGAACCTTCAGGTGAGCGGTGAGCTTATGAAGCATGTGCCTCCGACTCTCAATTATTAGAAAGAAAGAATAGTATGGTCTACCAACATGTAGGAAGAAGAAGAGTAATACCTGTACGAAGAATCCACCGGCGAGCATGAAGGTCATGACGGTGACGGAGGCGAAGGTGGTAGCCTTCTTGACATCCATGAGCGTAGCTCCGATGGCCAAGCCGAGGCCCTGAGCAGCGACGATGGAGAGGAAGACGGTGATCATGGTGAGGAAGAAAGGGGCAGGACTGAGCCTGAGGCCAGCCATGAAGTAGACAACAAGAAGGAAGAGAATGGGGAGCAAGAGATCAAGTGGAAGGTCACTGGTAGTTCTTGCCAAAAAGTAAGCACTCAATCTGTACATATCAGCCGCTCTTTCTTTGCTCAACATTGCTCTCTCTTGTGGGAATGTGAATATTGCTGTGAACACTGGGAAGAACCCCCAAAACACTGCTATGAAGAACAGCAGCCCAGCCTTCAAACAAACAACAAAAAACACCCATTTTCTTATTTCCACTGCAAGTTTTTTGTTCTAACATATGCTACCTCTACTATCTACATGTTCGCCAACTAATACAGTTAGCCAAACGAAAAATTTTAGCTCGTTATTGCGTAAATGAACGTGTTAGTACAACAATGACTGTCATCGACAATTTGTGAGGTTAGAATTTAAAAAACCATAAAGATCAACTCGAGTATAGCTCAATTGGCTAAAACACAGATAACATTTGCGAGGTCAGAATCAACTCGAGTATAGCTGAACTGATAGAGGTACAAATTTAAGTATAGTAATGATTGGCATAAAAAATTTGAGTGATGGACTAAATTGTAGGGACCAATTTAAAACTTTAAAAAGTTATAAAGACAATTTTGAAATTAAGACTGTCAATATGAATATAGTTCAATTGGTTAAAATACAAGGTCATATTTTGTGAGGTCAGAAGTTAAAATCCCTCGACCCACTCATTGTTCATGAACTAAAAAAAAATTCAAAAATAAAAAATCAACCATTGAGCATAAATTTGCAATTTAAGCCCGTTTAGTTTATGAATGAGAATCAAGGAACGAGAATACAAATTTTCATTTTAACGTAAGAATTGAATAAATGGGTAGGATCCATCCAAATGTGAGAATCCTAAAATCTCATCAATTATATTCTCATTTTACTCTATACCTTTTCAGTAATTATTAGCAATTTTTATCTTTTATCTCTCTTCCATTAATGAAATCATATTTTCTATTAATGGTTCACAATTTCACCATTTCTTTGTTTATTTATAATACTAATAAATTTTCTTCTAATAAAAAGATTATACAACTTTAAAAGTTGATTTGAATTTATTATGAAATACTATAATTTTATGTTTAACTATTATTAATCAATATCAATAAAATTGTTAAAATATAATTTATTATTATTAAATATTATAACAATAAAAGTTATTAATATTTTATATGAACGTAAATTTTTTTAGTGGATGTGATTTTATTTTAATTATTTATTATTTGTTAATATTAAATGTTATTAGAAAATATTAATAAAATAAAATTAGCACACTGGTTAAAATACTAAACTTATTTTTTAATAACCAATATCAATAAGCTCTGTTTTTATTCCAAAAAATTATAAGTAAAGAACATGAATTTCTCATTTCCATTTAATTCTCAATCAGCTCGTTAATATTATTATTATTATTTTTTTGCAAAATAATATTATCTTATTTTCTCCTGAGTTTCACTTTCACCTCTGTAATATAAGCATGCAAGAACACAAAAAAACTAAAATCCTCTGCAAAATTCTCAAAATTCAAGCTTCAAATTTCTGCAACAATGGAGGAGTTCGAAAATTACCTGATCTTGCAAGCCTTTGGGAGTTCTACTGTCCGATTGCCACCACAGTAACCCTAGAATTATGGCGGTGGCCAGAACTTGAGTGATTCTCAGCCAGCTGAAGTATTCATGGCGTCTTTCTTTGATTCCTCTTCGGAACAGTATGGTGTATTGTTCCCACCAGCTCGCTCCCCATTGCCTTTTCGAAGACGATACCTTCGATTTCATCTCTTCGTCGAGCGTCAGAGGCGCCAGCATTTTCCTCTTTTCCTTCTCTGCAACTCTCGTCTCGTAAGCCTCCACCAGATACTGCTTTAAATTCTCCAAATCAAAACTATTGTCGTTTGTTTTAAGGGCATATTATTGCAGGTATTGTAAGCTGTAATTAGATTTGATTTTGGTATGGAAATTTACTTCTGTTTACAACTATGTTACTTTAGTATCTTTGCTTTAGTTCCTTTGTTCATTTTGTTGTTCAGTTCTGATAATCATGGGAATAGACTGTTCTCAAATAGTTGATTGGAGTTTGATCAAATCCATGGCTACAAGATGATATAAATAAACATCTAGGAACGGAACTTGAAAATTATAATTTTAAGTAGTTGATATAGTTCAGACGATTTTTTTTTTTTTTTTGAGATTGAGATGATCTTCAATTCTGCTATAGAAATTCTTGGTAACTGGACTCTAGTACAATCGGGTTATTTCAAAGTGGATTATAATCATATTAAAATCAAAGCAGAAGAATTCATAATGGTGGCTTGATTTCCCTAAACATACCTCCTGCACTTGAGCTGGAGAAGGTCTTTCCTGTCTAATTTCAGCCTCAGAATTCTCTATTTGCACCCTGTCCTCTAACTCTGATGGAACAGACACATCATTGAGGTTACCGTTTGCAAGGTCAAGTAAGAACTCAGCAGGATTCATGGTAATAAGTGGGGAACACCCTATAGATGAGAAATAATTCATTGCTTCTGATGCTTTGCCATAATAGATCAAGCTTCCCTTCCCAAGAAGAATTAGCTTGTCAAATTTGTGAAATAATCTGCTAGATGGTTGGTGAATTGTCGTCACGACAGTCTTCCCAGCCTGCCATGGAAGAAAAACTTAGTCATTCTACATTGGAGCTAATCAGCAGAACAAAAGAAGATTGAAGATATATATGCATATACTTCTGCTATCTCTTGTAAAATCTGAACAATTCTCAATGCTGTTGTAGAATCCAAGCCAGAGGTTGGTTCATCAAGAAACAGCAGAGAGGGGTTGATTAAAATCTCGTTGCCTATACAGACCCTACGCCTTTCTCCACCTGAAACCCCACGGACAAAGGAGCCACCAATCATTGTATCCTGGCACCTGCAGATGGCTATGTTGATAAATGCCTATTCCCAGAAGAGTGTAATATCCTGTGCTTCAATACATTTTTAGTCGGAAGGAACTGCTAAGATTTACCTTTCAAGGCCCAGCTCATAGATGACGTCAATTGCACGCTTTTCCTTTTGCTCTTTAGTCAATGTTTTTGGCAATCGAAGCAGAGCTGCATATCTCAGTGTTTCTTTCACTGTCAGGTGGGGAAATAGAACATCCTCCTGCATTACGAATCCTATCCTGCAATGGCATTTTATTTTATCATGATCAAAGTATGTTGTATCAATATCTTTTAATCACTCTGTCTAGGATTATTGCCTGCTTTTCAGGAACTTATTGTATGGTTGATCATTGTAAGTAATGGAACCGCCAGCAGTAGACCGAATGAGCCGGCCTCCAAGCAGATTGAGTAATGTTGTCTTGCCACTTCCTGAAGGTCCCATTAAGGCCAGAACTTCGCCTGGGTTTACCGAACCGGTAATCCCATTCAGGATCTCCTTCTCTGCACTTGTCCGCAATCCCTTTAGAATTACTTTATAAGTAACGTCCCTGAACTGCAAAATTTTTCATCCACACAACAGAATGAAGATGAATTGAGCTATGTAAAAGTTGTTGAAGATTCAACTCAATTGAGAGAAGGCTATATTTTAGGCAAAAGATTCAACTCAAGTGAGAGAAGGCTATATTTTCCAAAAGGTATGCAAATAGTTTCACTTTTTAACCCTTCTTTAATTCCCTCTAGAAAGCGATATGCTTTGACTAGCTTTTTTTTTTTCCTTTCTTTTATCTTTCTGGTTCTTATTTTGTTCTTCAGTTAGGTGGAAATTGGATGAGTCTTGTACATGAATTGTCATATAAAATGAAACTTTGTACAAGACTGAACCTGACCATGCTATAATTTGCATGCTAGCTTAGCCATGTTCTATGGGGGTTGTGCTTTTATCTCTACATCAATCTCCCTGTATTTTGCCTGTCCAAATAGATAGACATAAATTCATTTGCTATCAGAAAAACAACACATACTACTTTGAATACTCTCTTTTTTTGTTATCAAAGAATGGGTGGCCATGTATAGGAGGATAATCATTTTATTTCAATGATGAAATTTCACTTTATTTACCTTGAGGTGAATTGGCATAGTTGGTTCTGTTTGAAATCTGGCCTTGCCTGTTCCTGCTTCTACATCCTCCGCTGTTATATTATATGCATATTAGAAGTTAAAACGGTTGAAGTTGGTAATTTACCTCAAGATACTTCATTATTTTTTAAATATAGAAGTACCATTATTATTTTTTTAATATGAGAAACCAACTTCTATTGAGAATGATTGAAGTGGGAAAAAAACGTACAAAAACATGGGTGATAAAAACCAGAGAAATATATTGGTAACTTGCAAAAATAAGAAATACAAACGAACACCCCAAGTAGTTTGAGGAACTTGGATGTCTCCCTCCTGAGTAAACTCAAGCCTAAACAACTCAACCATTGGTTGCTTTCGTCCCTGCTAGCTTTCTCTATTCATAACCACATTCCTATAACAAATTCCTTAACTAGTGACTAACGTACCCTTAGTATTCTAATAATATTTTTGGTAGCTAACAATGGGCTAAACGTAACTTAAGTAGTGCAAGAGGTTCTAAAATAATCTATTAAGTGTAAGAAAAGAGTAAAAAAATCGTCAATTGCATATACAGGGAAGGAGTCAAAGGTAGGTAGGAAATTAGGGCCTATAAATATGAAATTGAAGTCCTCAATGGCTTGACTTTACCATTAAATAAAACAAAATATTTCTAAATTTATGGGCCCTAGTCACTCTGCTGATTTGATTATAAGTACCGACTAACAGTCTT